ATGCTCAAGTCCTGTTCAATGCAATGGGGTGACGAAATGGTACCCCCTTTTTCCTTTATCCAAAGGGCGAATCAAAGTTTGCTTTTTTGGAAGTTCTATTATTTTTGGAGTATTTCCATGCCATGGATGCTTGAATCCGTGGATACAGAAGACCCCCTCTAGATAGCAAAATTCCATGTAGGCTGAAGTCCCATTCCATACAATGGCATATGGTGTCCCTTATATAAAATGGACAAATCAAAGTTTGCTTTTTGGAATCTTATTATTTTTGGAATATTTTCAAGCCATGGATGATTGAATCCACAGATTTAAAAAATCCATGGATACAGAGGAATTCCCCCCATACCAAAAACCCATAGATGCTCAAGTGCCATTCCATACAATAGCATAGTGAAATGGTGTCCCTTATATAAAGTGGCTTGCTTTTGGAATTTATATTATTTTTCAGGATTTTCAAGCTGTGGGTGATTGAGTCCATAGATGAAAAAAAATCCATGGATACAGAGAAACCCCTCTAGATAGCAAAAAGCTATGGATGCTCAAGTCCTATTCCATACAGTGGCATTGTGAAATGGTGTCCCTTATCAAAAATGGCCAAATCAAAGTCTGCTTTTTGGAATCTATATTATTTTTGAATATTTTCAAGTTGTGGATGGTTGAATCCATGGATAAAAAAAGTTAGTGGATACAAAGATATCTCAGATACCAACCAACACCCCCCTCCCCATGCCAAAAACCCATGGATGCTCAAGTCCCATTCCATACAATGGCATAGTGAAATTGTGTCCCTTATATAAAGTGGCTTGCTTTGGGAATTTATACATATTATTTTTCAAGATTTTCAAGCCATGGGTGGTTGAATCCAGGGATAAAAATATCAATAGATCCAGAGGGTCGACTGTCTTGTTCCTGCTCAAGAAAAAGGAACAAGAAAAGGTAGTCTTGCAATAGAGATTTGGGTTGGTTTTTTAACCTAGATCCTTCCCCCCTCTCAACTTTTTGTTGATGTTGATTTGCTGGATTTCTGGAGCTGAAGTTTGCAAAGAAAAGTAAAGCAGGGGAAGAGAATGGGATTAGGTGGTGGAGAGGAGAATTCCCAACAGGATTCAGGAGTGTTTATTGTCCAAAGAAGGGAATTTGATGGGAAACACATGGCAGCCCCCAAAGATCCTCAACAAGGACTTCTCCTCCCTCTTCCTGCTGGAAGCTAAGAGGAAAAGACACACATACACACACACACACACACACCAAAAAATCTTTGATTTATTCATCAAATTAATTTTGGAAGTAATCTTTTGCCATGGATTAGGTGAGGACTTGCAGAAATAAATCCTGCCTGAGGGACTTTCTTTTGAATTAAAGTTTTCATTCAGAAAAATTAGAGCTGCAGGGTTTTTCATTTGACAGACTTTTCTTATTAAGGAATTCCTTCAGAATAAAAGATTACAAAGTGCACGTAAAGGTGTTTTAATTTGAACTTTACTGCTTGGATTTATGCTAACAAATGTTGACTGATTCTTGTGGAGAATTTTATACCTTGAAAAGGTTGTGATGAAGGACAAGAACGTGCTTGCATCTTTTCTTTTTCATTTAAAAAAAATTCTCCTTTCCTTCTCCTTTTTGGTTTGCACTGAAAAGATTAACAGATTTACAAATCCTTTTTGTGTCTATACATGAGAAATATTAAATTTTATAATACATTTATTAGTCTTTAAGGCATCACTGTTGCTTTTGCTGCAACAAACTCCTGTTGTGGAAATTAACAAATTTGTGTGATCCATTTCTTTATTAAGATTAAAAAAAAAAAGACCAGAACTTTAGCTATGAAAATATGTTGTCTGAACACTGATATAAATAGTTTTATGTGTATCTCTTGACAATAACTTTAAATTTAATTTTTCAAAAATAAATGATTGGTGATAGTACCAGATTTCTCCTCAGAAGTGAATTCTATTTAGTTTAACAGGACTTATTCCCAGGTAAGTCTCCATATAGGTTTGCAGCCTTTCCTGAAGGTATCAACCCAAAACACGCTGGGGCATAAGTGATTTTTATTTCTAAGAAAACATGAATATATTTATACTGTGACATATGTGAATTAAAAATCATACTCTACTTTATTTTGTAAAAATGATCAATCAAAATCAAATGAAACAAACTAGCAGGAAGTGTCCAGTGCAATACAACAAAGAGAGGGGAAGTACAACAAACAACAAAAATGAACAGCAATTACAAAAGTCATCATACCCAGCAGAAATGGAAGTAAAAGGCCAACCAGAATAAAGAGCCGAATTTCTAGTTTATCCAGAAGGCTACTTGGAAGAGGCAGGATTTTGCCTGAAGTTGGGAACCATGGATTTTCTGAGCCCTGGGGAGTTAGGGTGACCAGTTATGAGCTAGCAAACAGAAAATCCATCACTCAAAGAGAGGTCAGAAGAGGCACAGATCTTCATAAACTTTGTATATACTAATTCATACATAGAGGTACCCGTTTATAAATAAATGCTACAATTTAAACAGAAATACTGTAGATCTTGGTGGGGAAGGCTGTGAGTTGTTGTGTGCCTTCAAGTAGTTTCTGACCTGTGCTGATCCTATCATGGGGTTTGTTGGAGCTGAGAGTGTGTGACTTATTGCAGACTGCCAGAAATAGTGCAAATTGAGTCTACTTTAAGGGTTAGGGTTAGGGAACCATGGGAACTGTATTTTATTGTGGCACCAGAGCTCTCTGACAGAGAAGGCTCAATGTCTCAGGGGAAAAAAAACAATTCCCATGATTCCCTAGCACTAACCCTAACCCTTAAAGTGGACTCAATTTGCACTATTTCTGGCAGTCTGCAAAGTCCAGATCACCCATTGGTTTCCCTGACTGAGCAGAGAATTAAACTTTGATCTCCAGAGTTGCAGTCTAACACTCAAACCACTATGCCATGCTAGCTATCCCTCCAGTGTTTTTACAGATGATAACTAGGACACATGTGACCAAGCGGCATCAGTGTGTGTTCAAGATGGCAAAACTGTTTAAGAAGGAAGAGCACACAGGCTAGGAGAGCCTGTAGCAGGTGAAGAGCAAGATTCAGCCTACTATTTGTCTCCCCTGCTGAGTCAGTTGAGTGCAAACTACTTTTGCACTTGGAACTCAGTTTGAAGCAACATATGAAATAAGCCAGAATGATGGGGGAAAGTGGGAGGGGCAGAGAAACTGGGACATTTTAAGGCAACTGAAAAAAATAGATTAGTAGGGACTGCCTCTGCCAAATCAGGACAATTGGAAAGTACAAGATTGGGTGACCTGTTTGCTCTCAAGATGCTAACCTCTATTCAAGGTCTTTATTCTCCTTTCTTGTGGTTCATTCTTAAACTGGATTTCAAAGAGGGAGTGTTTTCCAATAGAGGACTCTCCTTAGACAGCCAAGCAAATGAAGTACTGCCTTCTTTCATAAAGTCAAACTAAAAAGGCCCTGCTGTTGGTACCTTAATCAACGAAGGGGGGATGCAGACGCCGAAAAACGCTGTCTTCAATCCCAGGAAGGGGAGGGGCAGCTGAACACTGGGCGCCCCATCCACTTCCTGAGGACGTCATCGGAGCAACGGCCTGTCCACACGACGGGCGCTCTGATGACGTCCTTCCGGCTCAGCGTCCTCACACGCTGAGCCGGAAGAGACACCAAAGAGGTGCGCCATGCCTCTTGCTGTGCCCCTTTTGCAGCTTGCAGAAGGAGCGCTATTTTAGCGCTCCTTTCGCAGAAGGCGAAGGAGGATTGGGGCCGAGGTGTCTGGCAGCCTCAGCCTCGATCCTCCACTTATGGGGGCGGCCCAGGGCCGCCCGTCTGCATCCCCCCAAAGTTATCCAAAGATAGTTTCTGATGTGGATGAGAACACTTCTGTTATCGTTGTGGTATTGCCTGCGTAGGCTATAGACCTAAACAATCCAGAGAATGAGTTCCATTGAGCTCAGTGGCACTTACTTCTGATTACAAATGCTGAGGACTGTGCTTCTGGAGATATTCTGTTATTAATTGTTGGAGACTTTTGTACTTTGGGCATATACTGGATCAGTGGCAATCTGTGAGTACCGAGGATGTGGACAAGCTGCTTGGTAAGGTGAGGAAGACAACTTGCCCTCTCGACCCTTGCCCATCATGGCTGGCCGTCCGGGGGGGGGATGCATTGATGAGATTCCTCATGGATATCATCAATGCATCCTTCAGGGAAGGACATGTTCCATCCTGTCTAAAGGAAGCGGCTGTTAGGCCGCTTCTGAAAAAACCTTCCCTGGACCCCCTGGATATGAAAAATTATAGGCCTGTGTCACTGCTGCCATTCTTGAGCAAGGTGATTGAGAGGGCGGTTGCTCTTCAGCTTCAAGCTGTCTTGGATGAAGCCGATTATCTAGACCTATTTGAAACCGGCTTTAGGACAGGCTTTGGGGTTGAGACTGCCATGGTTGCCTTGACCGACGATCTGCGTCTGGGCATCGACAGGGGTAGTGTAACCCTGTTGGTGCTCCTAGACTTCTCAGCGGCTTTTGATACTATAGATCACGGCATCCTCTTGGACCACC